ATTGGATTTTCTCTCCCCCTGCATCTTTACCTAATGTCATCTTTGGTACATATTGTCAAACAACATAATGCAACTGGTGTTTTACACACATTTATATTCAAATTCATTTAATTCTGACAATGCATCTGTCCAAATTTAAAATCCCTATGTTTGTGAAAAAAAAAAAAAAAAAAAGATTTGCTGACATTGTCCCAGATGTTTTCTTGACAGGCATGGCCTCTGGTTATTATCTCCAACAGCTTTGGAAAATAACAGGCAGTCATTCAGAACAGAATTAATGGATTATGAATGGACAGAGAGCAGATTTTGATTCTAACAGCAGGCAAAAAAAAAACAAACTGTGAAGTTTTAGGCAACACAGTGACCCTCACATTATCATTCATCTGACCATTACCATTCATCTGACCATTACTGTAGCACATTAGCCATAAGGCTGCAGCGCCATTAGAGAGAAAACTACTGCACCTCTGTGCTTTAGCAACTGTTAACCATGTACTCCACCACTGGAGAGAGGTACTGTTGTGACACACTGATAGTGGATTGACCTGCGCACAAGGACAAACATGAAAAACCTGCAGCAACAAACTCCACACACACACACACACACACACACTGTCACAGGGGGTCACTGCACGGGACCACACTTTTGCAAAGGCACACACGTTTACACAGGAACTCCATGCCGTACATTGTAATCATGTCATTTCGCAAAACAAAAATGAACGCCCCGGAGAAATTACGCAAAGCATATTGAACCATTATATTTCCAGCTCTCGTTCTCAAGCGGTCACACAATCAAACAAATATGCAGAGCGGGGTGATGCCAAGACAGAAAGCAATTCTTCCTTTTTCCTGAGTAGCTTGTCAGAAGATTGAGTCGTCCACTCCATTCCATTCAAGGCAGCTTTCCATATTCGAGTGCTTCTCGGCATAGACCCTTACTGCACTTTAATTAAGGTTTGGCGTGCATTATACAAATAGAAAATACTTAAGAGTGCAGAAAGGCTCACATTAGATGAGCTCCCCCCACCCTTTTTTTTTTTTTTTTTTTTTTTTTTTTTTTTTAGAAAAAAGCTAATGTTTCTCCATCAACAAATGGTATTTACTCAAATTATAGACAGCAAATGAGGGCTAGGGTGAGATGCTTTGTTTCAGAGCCCATTGGCAGTCCATTAAAAAGCAGAAATTGTGTGCACAAATCCGCTGAGATACAAGGAGAGTGACACGGAATTAGGGATGGTTGTGTTTTTCATTGGCAGCCAAAAATCCAATGGAAAAGTCTTCTGATCACTAAATGAAAAGTATCCCCAGCAAAACATTATAATTGCTTCACAGAAATGATCCGTTTTTTTTTCTTTCTTTTTTTCCTTTATTCCATGATCTAAACACAAGTACAAAGATCCAACCCTAGTCAGATGGTACAGTAGGCTACAGCGTCCTAATTGCTTTGCTTATGAACAATATGTTTCTCGATGTTTCTCAGGAGAGATGTTACCTTGGAGGAAAAAGAGTTCATAGTGAGAGCTTGTCTGCCAGAGTGAACCGCTTTCAAGCCGACCACCTCTGCATGTCATCTTCTCCCAGACGTGGAGAGAAACAGAATTACTGGGGCACTCAAATGAATATGTGAGGAAATGGGCCAGCGCTCAAAATTGACACCATTTGTGATTTGCATATGCTGAATGAGGCTAAAATATACATAAGTGAGATGTTAATTCCTGCTCTAGTCTCAAGTAGCACAGTTTCAGCCCCAGTTTAAAGATTTAATCCCACAAAATGTCATGTCTTGTTTCATCAGCACTTGCATCACTCATCTACCTCTCAATCTCAAGACGCTTTGCACAGGTTTCTAATAAATACCTCACAAAATCATGGCAGCATAATGGACACAAAGCAATGACAAGAACATAATGTAAAACCACACTAGAATCTCCTGATACAGTCCCTTAAATTTCAATACGTGCTTTCACAACATCTGCCTTGGCCCGTCTGGGTCCAAACTGGGATGATCAATGTCCAAAACAAAACAGTAATTGCCAGCCTCGTCATGAAAATGGATCCCTAATAGACGTTTCTCGTCAGCGGTACCTGCAGCCCAGCATGCAATTACCTGGAGTGTTTACAAGCCATTTCAGCATCATATTTTGTGTTTCCAGGCACCTCGGCTAAGGTCATTACTTAATTGAATGATTTTTAGAGGAAAATGGGACAGTGGAACACATTTTTGGTCAAAAGCAAAAAAAAAAAAAAAAAAAAAAATCTACAATCTGAACGTCTGCATCACACAAAACTGGCAGTTATGAATCTTGTATTATTCAGTTCACACTCTACACCTGGAGATGCACATGTTAGCTTTCAGACATTATTAACATACTGCAATTACAGTCTTTTACAGAGGAATACCACTCAATTTAAGAATCAGCACGTTTTGGTCTTGTGGGCTTTATTAGCCTCATTTTTTAACGAAGCTCTAATGGCTTGATCTTTTTTTTTTCTTTTTTTACATTCCACTATTTATTTAAGGAAAAAATATTAATTCTTTATCTTTGAGTAAACTGAGGAATTCTTGCATGGGAGGTATGAAGAATAAAAAAAACCCAAAACTTTCTTTTAATTTGAAGCTTTTGATCTTGCAGATTTCTTGCAAAATGGATATGCATTTCAAAGTAAATTTAAAAAAAAAAGCTTTATTTTTTCACACTTCTCGTCTCCATATTTTCCCAATTCATTTTCAGTGCTGCCTCACTTCAATGTGACCCTAAAGGAGGAGAGAATGGGACAAACCGCTATGTCATTTGTGGCTACAGGGCTCAGTGCGAGGGTATTCATTAATCCAGAGTGGTTTGCCATTATTCCATATGGGAGTCGCATATATTACATCTGAAATTCAGTGGTATTGCCCTTTAACACAGAATGAAAAACTGCAAGGGTGAGTGTGCCCAGGGATATATTCACGGAGATTATTCCCATTAAATGTCAAACTGACTTCACATTCAATGACAAGGTTTAGCATATATTCAGTTTTGACAAGGTGTCCCAAGGACTCAAAAGACAGAAAAGAGTGTGTTCGAAAAGAGACACATTTGAAAACGTTATCACTTTCTCTTATAAAAAAGGCTGTTGGCATGAACAGAAATGACATATAAAATCCTTGTAGAAATACCAACCACCATTCATCATTTCAATACAAAATATGGACTATAACATTTCAGCAGTGGCTTTAAAATACTCCGCAATCATAAAGTCATAATTTTAGCCCAGTGAGGATTGTTGTGAGTGTTTCGTAATTAGGAACATACATTTTAAAGATAAAAATGTAAATCTTTGACCTGCAGCAGAGTGACGATGTTGGCAGATTCATCACCTGAACAAGCACCATTTCAAATCACTAGGGGCCTTTGCAGATGTTTTCCAGCTGTACAGTGCAGTCTCCCCCCAATGACAGGGATAAAAACAAATTTTGCAAAATGGAAACTTTTTATTTTTCAAAAAGCAACAGATTACACAGTTAACTTTCAGCAAATGCAATCCTAACTGAAACTGTACTCACATTCGGGACTTCAAAATGAAAGACTCACATACTTACACACAATCTATCTATAATATACAAAAAAGAATACATAATAAATATTAAAATGGCCACAAGAGAAAAAAGTAAGTCATTGAAAACAATCATTAGAGAGCAAATGTAGGGAAAGTAGAAACAAGACGGTGTGCCTTAAATGTCCTTTTTTTTTTTTTTTTTTTTTTTCTTTTACATTTTTTACAAATTGTGCAAGATTTCATACTAAGGCTCTGGTCTTGAAGTGACTGTTGTCTGATCCACACAGCACACACACTCTGAAATGCACACACATGCACCCACTGACACTCACACGCTCACACACACGCACACACACACACACATACACACACATACACATACACACACACACACACACATACACTCCCTGTGCTCTGAGCACTCTGTGGGGTGTAGCAAACCGCTGCAGAATAAAAATGGGCTGCTCAGTGTATGGCCTGTGATGCTCATGGGAGTGGACCAGCTTTTAAAAATGGACATGCACTTCACGTTGATGTGAAACAGAAATCAAACTCCCCTTGCATAAAAAAAAAAAAAAAAAAAAAAAAAAAACTTTTTAGGAATGAATGAAATAAATAATAATAATAAAAAAAATCTCCCAACAACCAAGAAACATGACAATATCATAACCATTAAGGCAAGAACACCCGGAGTGGCATCAGCAATACTGTAACAATATGATAGTGTTTAGGTACATGGATATGATGAAACATTTAACTACTTCTTCATTGTCTTTTTTAAGCACAAGGTTGTTCGTAAAAGCAACTTTTTTTTTTTTTTTTTTTTTTTTTTTAAATCCAAACATCATTTCATCTTTTTTTCCTCTTTTTTTTTGTAAAAGGTGATAAGAAAATAACAATGCCAGACACTAGGGACATATGGATCGTAAAACTACAAGAAATCATTTCTAGGTTTAAGTTGCAACTTCAAAACCACACATTGTAAATCCCCATCGTTAAGCCCCCGCCCAGGAAATGAAAAAGGTATCACTTACATTAAAACCATTTTATCCTCTTGTGATGGTGTATTCCAACAGTCACCAAGTTTTGCTTTACTTACAGCGATTGTGTAGTCTGTTGCAAATTAAAGCATTCATTGTTTAGTTTGGAAAAAAAGAAAAAAAGAAAAAAGTTGTCCTTGCAATGCAACTGGCAACTGTTGACCAAAAAAAGCATCTTTACATCTTCTTTTTAGTGCAACTCTTAAAATGTAAAACATTTCCAGTGATTCCTTGAGAGGTATCATTTCTTTGTTTTGTGTTCTTTTTTTCTTTTTCTTTTCATATTTACGTATTTCACACCTCACAGAATAACGCATCTTCAAATTATCCAAAGCAAGAGGTTTTGTTTTCATTGTTCTGTCAAATCTTTTTTCTTTTTCTTTTTTTTTTTTTTTTTCAACTTTTTGCTTCTCTGCATTGGCATGGCCTTCCACAATGTCTGTTTACTAGAACATAAACACAGGAGGGGATCCAGACCTCCTGCGTATTTCCCATTCCCTTCAGCCTCCATGTTTGATACATTTCATATTCAATCACCCCGGCAGAGCCTCGTGATTGGCAGTCCACCTTCTACCTCTGAAAACAAGGGTTAGGAGAAGGAGGAACAGGAGGAAAACTGGAGGATGAAGAGAAGAGAGATAGAAAGAGAGAGTGCGCTGTACAATGGGAACGAGCCCAGATCAAGATCAATCAGGGAAATAGAGACATAGATGAGAGAAAAACCCACAGCAAAACCTTCATATAACGCAGTAGGGTTCCCTTGGTAACCTGGATTTTCTGCAGTAGAGGAGTGTGGTGCTGAAGCAGCGCCGGAGCTCCCTGTTGGAGAAGATGCAGATGAAAGGATTGACCCCAGCCTGGGCAAAGCTCATCCACACGGCTGCCGTCAGGTAGCCCCCAGGGACTACAGGGCCCCTTGCAAACACCCGCCAGTAGCAGGCGACCAGATAGGGCCCCCACAGTGCCAGGAAGAAAAACGTCATGATGTAGAACATCCTACTAATCCTCTTCTCTGTTTTGAATTCATCCAATACCAGTAGACGCCTGCGGCCCGCTGCGTTGCTGTTCTGCCGGATGCCCAGCAAAGTAGGCGGGGTGGGGCCTCGACCAAATCCAGCCAGCCAGTTGGCGGCCGCCTGCCCACTGGCGCCCGGCCCGTGGAAGGTCCAATTCTGGCTGACAGCAGGCACGAACTGGACAGGCTTCATCTTTCGACGGTCATGGACAAAAAAGATGAGCTTGAGGTAAACCAGCTGTGTGGCCAGGAGGATGAGCGCCAGCAGGAGCATGAAGCCCAGCGAATCATTCGCCCTGAAGGAACGGTGCTGGAATGTGCACTGGTCCTCCTCCCGGATAAAAGAGTACGTCCCTACGTCTAGCACCGGCGGGAACGCCATAGCCACTGACAACGTCCACACCATGCAGATGACAGCCAGACAGGTCCAGAAGGTCAGCCTCTTGGTGTAGAAACGGTGATGTGCGATGGCCAGGTAGCGTGTGACACTGACACAGAACAGCATGAAGGCCGTGTGGAAACAGGAGAGCACACCCAGGAAGGCGATCACTTTGCAGGTCAGTGTGCCGTAGGTCCAGGCAGATCCATTCTTGACTGAGGTGAAGACAAAGGGGAAGCAGATGGCGGAGCGCAGGATATCAGAGGCGCACAGGTCCAGCAGGAAATAGTAGGGCGCTCGGTGCAGGCTCTTGTCTTTGACCAGCAGGATGGAGATCAGGAGGTTCCCAACCACACCGACTCCAATGATGAAACCCAGAGAGGTCAGTTTGAGGAACGTGGCGAGAGGAGAGACATTCTGCAAGATGGTGTGGTCCCCTGCATGGCTATAGTTCGCCATAGATGGAGGAGGGATCATAAAGATAGCGGAATAGCTTCAGCCAAGTATCATGATCTAGAGGCGGCAGGGGGAGGCGTTAGATCCATTTGGCGGTGTGCTTTGAAGAGGTTTCCAGGCATATAGGCAACCTCTCCTCTAAGGCATCCTTTGTTCCTTTGTCTCATCACACCTAAAAAAAAAAAAATCCCTGAAAAATATCATCCACCCATCAGCATTCAGTCTTACACAACAGCTGCATTGTTTTCAACTGCACTTGCACAATCTAGAATGTGATAATAATTTTCCCTCTGTCTGCCATTTATTTATTTATTTATTTTTCCGTCTACATTTTAACATTTAGAGTGGCACAGTGCAGAGCTGTGCCTCAGCCTGAATACTTTAAGTCTACAGACAGAAACACAGACAGACAGTGATGGAGCTTGATCAGACCAAAGCATTAATCCATTTCAAGCAATATTTTTCTTTTATGTGGCTTCGGGAATTTCCTGAACAAAAGCACCATCATGGCTAAAAAAAAAAAAAAAAAGAAAAAGAAAAAAAGAGCACAGTCCAGCCTTCATTAACAAGCGACGCATTTTTTTACCTGTGCTTGCCGGAAAGAAGCGTTAACCCCCCACCCCCCCCCAAAAAAGAAAAAAACCCGAACCCAAGAGCAAGGGCTCGGGTTGTAAAATTCTAGACATTTTTTTTTCCCTCCAGCGTACTCTGAAACATTAAGAGAAATGCAGTCCAAAATAAGCTCCTCTTGATCACACCCTACACCCTGCAGAACAGAGGAAGGCTCTCTGAAAGCGGTGGGTGCCTTGAATAAACTCGCCCTGCCTTTATGCATTGTGGAAAATCGAAAAGGGTGCATCCATAATAAAGCCTCCGTGTTTTTGTCTGATTAAAGGTTAACTGGATTACGGGTCTTAACGTTAATAAGCAGTGTTCTCATTAGGGGCGTTCATTGAGCCAGCCTCCATTTTCCAGATCATCTTTTATATTGTTAATTACAGAGAGTTAAGAGACTATGCTGGATGTTAGTGACTCTATAAACCGCATTTCCACACAATTCAGCTGGTTAATGCGCGGGTGTGATTGGAATGGATGGGTAGAAGTGACAATAACAACCCGGCAATTTTACGGGTTTGTTCTAACCAATACCTATTTTTCTATTGTTCAGAGCATCTCGTACAGCCTGTGGTCGTATCTGATTTCATGAATATTAGCATTGGTGTCTACTTACGCGTTTAAATGCGTCCTCCGATTATGAGTCGAGTATTTTACGCGCGTTTGAATCCGAGGGATTTCAGTGAAAAAGCAAGGCAGGGTGAAAGAAAATCATCGTCCCCGCATCCCAACCGGCTGGATGAAGCGTAACAGTGTATAGCGGATCCGCACGTCCATTAGACTAGAATAATTTCCAAGTCCCCGCTATGAATTGCCCAGAATCGCAGCCACCACACAAGACAAGGCCAAAAAAAAAAAAAAAAAAAAAAAGAGAGAGAGCGAGGGGGAGAGAGAGAGAGAGAGAGAGAGAGAGCGAGAGAAAGAGAGAGAGAGAGCCGATCACAAGATCAATCAAAATCCTACCTGTTGATATTCCTATTTCGTGTCGCCTCCTGGAAGTTATTCACATCGCACAGTTCGGGTTTTTTTTTCTGCTTTAAAAAGCCTGGTTTGTTGCCTGCTTCCCCCTTTTTTTTCCCTCCACGGTGAATATCCTACAGTAAACGGAGCCCAGTGCGCATGCGCCCTGCATCCCTATTTGTGATCCAAGACGCGTCTCGTCTCTTGTTGCAGCAGCAGCAGCAGCAGCAGCAGCAGCAGCAGCAGCTCCGTCTCTCTCACGGCAACATCTGTTCAACGGAGCCGCTGCTGGCCGGTAACGCGTTACACGGGTACTCATCATCACCTCTGGTAACGTGAAGTGTAACGGATTACCTTTTGACTGTCAGTTTGACAGTTACAGTGTAGATGGAAGGACGACTTTATTATCCCCCTGATTGTTAGATGGATTTAGATTTGATTTCTTTCAGGCTTTTATTGAAATCAGCATTTAAAAAGCTGACTGGAGTTCAGTCTGGGATGATCAGATCTTTTGTAGTACATTGTTTTATCACTTTGCAACCAGCATCCTTACCACATTTATGAGGCTATCAGCACAAACGCTCTCTGTCTGGCTTTCATTAGGCTCATACATGTTTCACTGCACAGAAATGTCGACCATTATGTACAAAGTGAAGGGTTAAATCAGGCAGCCTAGTTCACCTCAAGCTAGAATGACTTCCCCAGTACTGTATATGCATAATTGACAAGCACTTTGCGCACTGTTGTTCGTTCCGCCCAGGGCAGCATGATAAATTCATAGGATTTGATTTCTCAACCATGTATGGAGAACTGTGATGTCATGAGCAGTGTAACAAGAGAACAATGATTCAATCAGCCACATGTACACACACTTAAATGCTGCACACCTATATGAAACACAGCAGCGAGAGGCTGGCTTTGTAACTACCTGGGTTGTGAGACATGAATTAATCATAATCATACATGTAGGGAACGCGTCACTGCTAGCAACTGTCACAACTTTCACAGTGGGAACTGTGAACTGTGCAGATTTCTATTTAAAAAAAAAAATAAATAAATAAGGAAATGATGCAGAGATGCTCAGTCAGCTCCTTTTCAACACATGGCCACTCCTCCATTGATGATAAATGTAGATACAGTCACGGAGGCTGACACTGATTTGGAAATTGAAACTGAAGAAACTGCCATCCAGATTAAGTTAAATTAAAGCAATAATTTTTCACTTCTGATCAGTCACTCCATTCCGCACAGACCTTTTAAATATTTTGTTGGATCATCATCTCAAGGTTAAATAATGATATTTAAGCATCAGTTATACAATGTGATAAAGTTGGACATTTACATAGCCTGTTGAAATGAGGAGTTCATTAAAAAAATTTAAATAATTTTGGTCTAGTTGATTATATTTGCTCCAATATTGGAAAGAAATGAAATACATTTACTCAAGTACTGGAGTAGTACCGCTGTTTTCCATTTAATGCTACTTACTGCCACTCCACTGCATTTCAGAGGTAAATGTTGCACTTTTGACTCCACCACATTGATCTGGCAGCTACTTCACACATTCAGATTTTCCATAAGAACATGGACTTAGAAAATGATGCTACATTATTAAAGATCAAGCCAGTGGGTCTCATTCGTTTCATCTTGTGACCCCTCACTAAAGTTATGTCTCAGATGTCTGTGTGTCATTAGGAGATCCACTGAAGAGACATCCCCCCTCTAAACTTATATATATATATATATTTTTTTTAAATAACTGTGAGGTGCAAAGAAGAAAAATTATCCACCATTTCACAAAAACAGCAAACATCAGAGAAAGGTCCAACACTGAATTTAGTTTTGTGTAGCACAGATGGGTTTCCTTCTTTTTTTTCCTACAGCATTTATCATCTCACGACCCCTCAGATTTAACATGACCCCTTGGAAGGGGAACCACCTGACTATAAATTAAAACAGTATTACAAATTAATCTGCAGAACAAGTGCTTTTATTTTTTATTCTTATTCTTTGTATTCTGCTGATAACACTGCTGTATTTTCAATTATGTAGGATTTTGTGGGGATTTGTAACTTGTAATGGAGTAGCCTACATCACATATAGGTGAGACTGCATGGAAAAGGTGTGACTGCCCCAAACTGGTGAATTATTCCACACCTGTTCATGAAAGCACTCTCCTCCACACGTCCTACGTGAAAGCGGAGCAGAGGGAACGGGATTGTACAGCATATCATTTACATTTCATGACCACGAGCTGTGAAGAGCATCGGAGAAATCAATTTATTCTTCACAAAGCGATAGTCACATGTTTCATTAGCAGAAAGTGCAAAAACAGCTCCACTCTTTTTCACCTAATAACACACGTGTGATATTGTGCTTCAAACAATGGCAATGGTTGTGTTGAGCATTGCGAACATAAACACATCTGGAAATCGCAGTGATTACTTCAAGCATAGCAAATATGCGCCATATGCAATGCAAGCTTCCTTATAGGAGAATAACTGCAGCAGTCTTTACGTATAGAAGGCAACTGTGTTTGGTTCTGAATCTCAGCAGTGCAACAAGTAACAGTTCCTGGTTTTGAACTTCCTGGATGCTTCCCTCCACCTCCCTCAACAGAGTCCACGTGGTTCCCGTCGAGCCCGACGCATTAATTCCAATAAGGCACGTTTCCTATCAGCCGCTTCGACACGACCCCCTGTGCTAGAAGGTCCGCCGGAGATCTCACACACACACAGGGAGGGATTAATGCGGTGGATGGTAAACAGGACAGGACTGGCGCACGATCGGAAGGGTCCCATCTCCTCACAGCTGTCCGTTCCGCCTCCGTGCGTACCAGCCGAGGCAGATGCAGAAGCCCACCACGGCCAGGACGGTGCCCAGGAGTAGGGCTAAAGCGTCGCCCGTGTCGTAAGCCTCCGCCGGGGGGATCAGACAGAGGACGAGCAGCCAGACGATCGCCGCGGCGTTTGGAAGTTCAAATTTGGGGGCCATGTTGAGGTTCTCCGCTGTTGCTGTTGACTGTCCGGGAAGCTTGTTGCGCCTGCGTCAAAGTCATATGACAGCAGCAGAGCGGCTGGACTTCCCGGTGCGTTCAGCCAATTGGAGAGCCGCTTTATTCTAACCTGTTCCTTCTTTTTTTTTTCTCTCTCTCTCTCTCTCTCTCTCTCTCTCTCTCTCTCTCTCTCTCTCTCTCTCTCTTTAAGAGTCACTTTGTATTTCAGCAGCCATTTGTCACAGAAGTAATTGTATAACTCTGCTGTAGTTTCATTTGTTTTTTCACAGATCATATAAAAATACAAACAGATCCTGGGCTCAGTCATTCCATCGTGAGAGGATTTGTGACATCTCTCTACTTATTAGTGACAATCGGGCAGACAGGCTGTCAGTGCTTCATGTCGCTGCCCCTCAGGCCCTGCTATAAACAAGTGAGACTATTTTACATCAGTCAGGCTCATCAACTGCTCTTGTTTGAAGCTTGATAGTCCCTCTGAAGACAAACACGTGTTGACATGCGTAGACTATGACTGTGTGTTGCATGTGACACTTGTTGGTCAAGGTTAGATCAGGGGAAAAAAAAACAAAACACCCATTACAGCCGTGAGACAAGTATTTTCCACATTATACTGTAGATGCCATTAGCTGCCATAAGCTTTATGAACGTACCTGGTCCATTTTACTATTTCAATTTGGACAGGAAGAGAATTTCACACTAAAAGAGCTTATATCTCCAAGTCCAACCCGGTTGCTCTGCTTTGCCTCGGCACCCCCCTGATCTCCATGTTGGATGACTGAACATGCCAACATCTCAGCTCCTGCTACAAAGTGTTTGGCTTGCAGAGCTGCGGTGGTGGTGGGTTGTTAGGTAGGTGGTTGTGGGGTTTACAGAGTTTGTATCTCTCTGTTTGCTCTCCTGGGGCGCTTTGCCTGTAATTTAATTAGACTGCACAAGCCAAAGTAAAATATTGACCTTGTAAGGCTGCCATACCTCTGTACCTGCCTGCTCCGAGCGAGGAGATGAATAGGCACGCATTTCCTCTGCTCACTCTTCTTCCCTTTCATCGCACACTCTCTCTCCTGCTCCAGCTGTCTGGTTGGCAATTTGTCTCACATACGCACATGCATACTGTGGGGTCCAAAAGTCTGAGACCCCCACTGTACATACAAGTTTTCCTGAGTCCTGTCTGATCTCTGTGGCTGCCATCCGCAGACCACAGGGCAATTACAAGCTCCCGACGGAGCTTCTTATTCAGGACATAAATCATGAAGCAGCTGAATCTGCTACTCTCTGTTTAGACATTCCTTATGCATAAGTCGCAAACAAATGCAAATTTTAAACCTTACTAACAACATAAAACTCAACTTAAGAGATGTTTTTAATGTGTTAAGCCATCAGAAATGCCCCCTAGATTCACATTTTGGCAACCTCCCTGGCAGATGCACGCACGCACGCACGCACGCACGCACGCACGCACGCACGCACGCACGCACGCACAGCAGCAGCAGCAGCAGCACTTACCCTGGATCTCAGCAGTGTTGGTAATTGATCAGTGGGAGGATGAGAGAATATCCAGAAATGAGAGTGTTTGTCTAACAAGCCAGGACAGTGACATTAATCTTCTCTACTTATGTGTTCTGCATCGTAATGTGCTGCTCAGCACCTCAAGGTCCTGTCCCTAAATGTGTCCACTGAAGAGACTTGCAAAGGAGTCACTCTATGTAGTATCATGTACTTTGTAGGTGCACCAGTGATAAACAAGGATTTTCAAAAGTGAAATTTCTTTATGGAAATATAAAGTGTAATGATACTGCAGCTATCGTGCAGATTTATTTCATTTTTCCAAAATGGATGCATTTGTGGAAACAGCCAGCGCTGCTAAGAGGCGTCCTGTTTAGCCTCAGTTCCACTATAGCTTCTGTAACTCAGTACAATCTCTCATTCAGCATTTCTTTCATGTGTCCTTCTGAAATACGGGAGTGTGTTCCTGGGGTTTACTTATCATATTCTAAGACAAATCATCATCGTAAACATTTACTTTGTGAGCACAGAAAAAAAAACTAAAGCTCCTAGGAAAAAACTACAAGTGCTGCAGTGTCGGTAACAGGTCATCAGAACATGGTTTTGTTCATACACTCTCTTCTAGTCTTTTTTTTTTTTTTTTTTTAAACTGTCTAATTCACTCATGGACTCGCCTCTTATGATGAGCTGTTTTGTATATCCCGTAACTGTATAGGTTTTATGGGAAATGGTGTTCATTAAAAGCAATAAACTGAAAATACTGAATAAACAACATTAGATTAAACTCGTAGCCTATCTTATATAAACATATGAAATGAGCCACGCAACATAATGTTGAGAAAAGTTCTGTACCAAGCCTGGATTTTTATTTATTAGCATAGCTACAAATGGTAATGGGATTTTGAATGAGGTTTCCTTATCTCAGGAACAGAACCTCCATGTTTGATAATTACAATTTTTACAAAATAAGTCAAAACAAATTATGATAGCCCATATATACTGACTCTGTGGCAAAAGTATATTATAATTGAGGTTTCTGTGTGTGTGTGTGTGTGTGTGTGTGTGTGTGTGTGTGTGCGTGCGTGCATGTGTGTGTGTGCGCGTGCGTGTGTGTATTTCCAGTTACCCCACTTTTTTATTTATCCCTTCTCTTTTGACGTTAAGAGACAGTCCTTCCCCTCAGTGCCACTGGCTGCCAGGAAACCGAGGCTTACCTGGCAGGGAAGACACTCTATAAATATGTCCATCTCAGGTTGTGTTTCAACCTTATATCAAATGCAAACTCTTGTGTATGTGTGAGGGTTGATGTATGCATGGATGATGTTTATGGTGCGATGACTTTTCTGTTTATAAATTTTGAACATCAGTTGTTGTTTCCAAAAATTTGTGTCTACATGAATATACGTTGCTGCAGTTATGTTCTGTATCTTATTTATTCACACAGAGGACACCATGCTGAGGTTATCCGCCATCAAATGTTTTTGGAGGTAAGACGAACTGAAAAGGCCAGTTTTCAGAGTCCTTGGTTTTGTAAGCATCATCCATTCTCAATTACTTCCCACAATAACAAATACAGAGTACCACCTTTACCAAACAGCACAAAACATCTCTCCCTGAAGATTAATTATGTTCTGAAATTGGTTTCTCAGAAAACACTGAAAAGATGACCCTTTAAAGCAATTGCTGGTTTTGTAGTGCTTCAGTGCACCATCCATAATGAATTGTACTGTGAGGGACATGACAAATTGATGTTCCTGTGTCTTTTGTGGCTGTGTGTGAGATGTTGAAATACTGAGGAGGGCCTAAATCAACATCAGAAAAAAAAAAAAGAAAGGGCAGCGAGGTTCTGTATAGCATGCTGCTACCGGACCACACTGACTCACACACCGCCAGGGATGTGGGATGAACTGAAACACACCGAAAAACCTGCAAAAAGACGAATGACGCAGTGTAATTATCTATTCACACTGGAAGCTGTGAGGGAGTCTGTGAGGGTGGATGCTTGACAATCACGCATCTGAGTGTTACACTGACAGTTGTATAATGCTTTAAAGGGTAATCAATTCATCATTGCATTGTTGCTTTGGTTTTGCAGAGACTCAGAATTTGCTTGAGATAATTTGCAGTGAATATGTAGTCATCATTTTTTGCCAATGTAATGTTATTACCATGTGGTGCATGGTAAAAACCTCCTTTCTTTGAGTCGTATTTGATACCTGCCTGACAGATATGCATTCAGAAGCTAGTCATCAGAAAATCAAACCCAGAGTAAACCACCAATATTATATCATATATATATCATATCATATTTTTAGTTTATTTTTTTGATGAATGAGGCTGAATTGAATGGTTGTACCACCATGGAAAGATAAGATAATAATTTACTCAAGAAAGAGTTTGATCAAGGACACGTTTTCAAGCATCCTTAAGCAACTGTTATTCTTTAAAAAGTGGTCAGTGGTAATGTTTCTGTAGATCTGTAGTCAATGGGCTTAAACATGCAAGTCAATATAAGGAGAATGAATATTTCAAATCCTTTAAATTTTAAGGTATTCAGGTCAGACATTAGTTGAGTATTTAAAGAATCAAAGATCATGTAACACTACATTGACATACAGTATTACCTCCTATTAACACTGATGGCATTGCCATTAGCCTATTAAATACCCACATTAGCATTCATTTGAAGACATGTTCAGAGTTTGAAGTCAAGCTCTGTTTTGCACTCCACCAACTGGTGAGAAGAATACGTGGCTCTAAACGCTCCTCCATGTTCACCAGCTAGCCGCTAACCTTGTCTTGTCTGTTGTTAGATGTAGGGCAGGTAACGCCCAGAGTAAGTTTATCAGAGCAGACAGCTGTCTGCTGAGCCTGGAAACGGGGTTAATGAGAGGGGTGAGAGTGATCCAAAACAGTAAAGTTGTGGGTCATAAAACCAAAACAATAAGCTGAAAGACATTAAAATGCTCCAGAGACCTGAATAACCTGATAATTCTCTTTGGGTTTGTCACTGCAAGAATGTCCTTTTACATTATAAATGTTTTTTTCCATGTGAATATAAAAATACTGATTAGTGCACCTTTAAGTATTTACTTTTGAACTTAAAATTCAACAACCCCTGTAAGACCTATAAACACATTCTTGAAATTTTACTGTTGCGTTCCCTATCTAGTTTTTTTTTTTTTTTAATCACTACAACACATGGTTCATTTAGTGTGGTGCATTAGTAAAATGCAATCAAATAAGGCTCAAAGCATCATCATATTACTGCAGAGCTTCAAGAGAATCACTTAATGGTTAGTCATAATAGTACAACCACTACATCTGCCTGTGATTTTCCCCACAGAGTTGCGTGCGGAAATGAGTAGAAGCAGAATCAGTCCCTGAAGGTTGTAGCGGGGTGTCGGAGTGTCTGCTTTAAGCATAACAGAGAGACATGGCAATACATTTTGAACATAAAAATATCCAAAACAATCACTAGTAGCCTATCAAAGTGATTCACCACACAATATTTAAAACAAATCATAAT